ATATATATATATATATATATATATATATATATATATATCACATCAAATCATTGGATAACTTAAATGTTTCATACACTAGATAATTCCTCAACAGTCCCCCAGTGGGTCAGCGGTAAGTTTACAGACTCGCAATGTTACAATCTGGAGTTAGATTCCCGTGGTGGTCAAAGCGCAACTTTGGTTTGGTTTGAATTTCACGCAAAGTTACACGAGGGCTATCTGCGCTAGCCATCCCTGATTTAGCTGTGAAAGACTAGAAGGAAGGCAGCAAGTCACCATCACCTACCGCCAACACTTGGGCTACTCTTTTCCCAACAAACAGTGGGATCGACAGTCACTTATAACGCCTCCCCGGCTGAAAGGGCAAGCATGTTTGGTGTGACGGGATTCGAACCCGCGACCCTCAGATTGCGAGTCGAGCGCCCTAACCACCTGGCCATGCCGGGCCAAGGAGCGCAGCCTATTACGTAGCTTTATGCTTTTGTTTGTGTGGAATTAAGCAAAAAGCTACACAAAGGGAATCCGTGCTCTACCCACCACGGGTATCGAAACCTGGATGTAAATCTGCAGATATACTGCTGTGACACTTGGGGGCAGCTTCGTGCTAAAAAATAAACAAACAAATTTTAAACATTTATATTAGGTAATTGTGGAAGATACAACACGTTTTGTACTTGCAACTGTACACCGACCTAAAACGTTAGCAACAGATTTAAAAATCATATTAAACAACTTTAATAACAATCATAGAGTGGTTAAAATATTGTCCAGGTTATTTTTTTAAATAGTTTTTAATAATAAAGATTTATTATTTACATTATAGAAGTAACTGAATAATTAATGATTTGACAATAATCAAACACTGATTTGGGTAACTTTCCAAACTGACCTAAAATTCGATATCTAAACTGAATGTGTAAACAACGTTCTATGATACACCAGAAAAGAAGTTAGCTACACAATAACAGGATAAACGATAGGATTTAGTGGGCAGACAGTGTACTGATGCACACAATAACAGTAGAAATGATAGGATTTAAAGGTCAAACAGTTTATTGATACACACAATAACAGGAGAAGTGATAGGATTTAGTAGGTGGACATTGTATTGATTCACACAATAACAAGAGAAACGGTAGGATTTAATGGGCAGACAATGCACCGATACATACAATAACAGTAGAAATTATAAGATTTAATGGTCAGTCGTTGTGCTTATAAGAACAGTAAAAGATCGTCAAGTAGCTGAATAGTATTGAAAGGTTTGACTTTTGTTAGATAACAAAACAAAATCTGTTTTACTCAAATACTATGTGCTGAGGTTTATTTTTGTTTGTAGACCAGTCTACTCTGTCTGTCTTCTCATTAACAATTAACTTTATTTTAATAAGCAGGTATCATGGACACAAAGACAAAACATAGTGCAATAAACTTTAATTTCGATGAATGACATTTAATATTTGACATTCTTCGTTATGACTCTACTGTAGTGGACCAACATTGAACAGGGAACGAGGCTAAGATGTAAAGCTAACACATAAAAAAATGAAAGAATAATTTTTCCAGGTCTCATCAGTCACGCATATGTTATCACAAAATGACCATTCTATATTTTCATGAGAATGTCGAGCTAACAACAGAAGTCAATTTTCAAGTTGCCACTGTGGAGCAAACCAACAAGAATACATAGACTGTTTATTACAAAATGACCTTTGTATTCTTATTTGAATGTCAAACCAACACAAAAGCCAGCTTTCAGGTTGCTATATTGAACAAATCAACAAGAATATGATATAATTTACTACAAAATAACCATTCTCCGTTCTCATGGTAATGTCGAGCGAACACAAAAGTCAGCTTTCAGGTTGCTACGTTGAACAAACCAAGAATATTACAGAAAAATTAAAACTGATATTAATTAGACAAGGAACTGGTTTACAGTAGAGAAAAGTGGAATTCCAAGGGTAACAATACAACAGAATTAGAGCTATAAAAAGAGTAATTATGACAGAGCAATGACCAATTTTTTCTTAAGCCTATCTTGTGCTAACTTAAAAATAATATTCATGAATTAACTGATTAATTTCCATGGATATTCATCATAACAGCTGAAACTTAACACATGCAACAGTAAATCAGCCAAAAAAGGTCATAAAATATATAGTTAATACCAAACGATTTTCACATCAAACATCAATACACCTCAAAGATAAAAACTGTTAAAAATTAAGGAACTCATAACTTAGAATAATGAAAACAGTCGATATTAAAATAATCACAAATACAAATCACATACAGTTAGCGTTAAATAATCAAACAAAACGGTAGTTTTGTCGCCAAAATAAAAAAAGAAGAAATAAAACTATTCTAGTGTTTTCCGTTTACCTAGTTTGTTCCTGATGCATAAAATACACATGCGTATTATTCTTCTATAGAAATAAAATACACATGCGTATTATTCTTCTGTAGAATTAAAAATTGCAAATGGTTGCCTTATACTGAACATTATGCACACCTAGAACAGGCATATAAACTTTTATTAACCTGCTTTGTCTTCTTTTGATTCTAAAGACACATAAGTTTTCTGAAAATTTCAAACTTTTTTCAGTAACCCCAACTAGCAGTGGAAAAAAAAAATGGTGCAAGTATTGTTTTCCTTTGTGGTATGAATGTGAATAAGAATATTCAGTACGCAAATTATTGCAAAGTTTAATTGTAAAAATATAAAATCTACTTTAAAATGGCTTTCAAAATAACCTGTATTTCATCAGTATTCGCTAAGTGGAAGAACTCCAAAATGTAAGTATGCCAATTACAGTAGTGAACGTTGGAATGAACGCTTGCAACATGAGGACCTAGCGACCACGGCCAGCGAATCCTTAATTTATATCTCGAAAGTTTTACTGTATATTTATTCTTGAAAGCATGCGACATCCTCGGTGAATGCAAAAGAACACCGATTAATAAAATTACCCTCATCCCCTTCATCTGTCATTCTCTTTCCCAAAGTTCATTTCGTATAGTTCAGCTCAAAACGAGAATGTCTTCCTGTCACTGCTGCTTCTGTCTTTTTGTCATTGTTTGTCATCCTTAAAGGTAAAACATTTTCCACTCTTATGTAATCTACTTGATAATGTGTGTGATATTAGCAATATCCTGATCTGCATGTTACTTTCCTTTAAAGGTATAGTTAAACAATAATGATTACAGTGAAATCCATCCAAAAATACTTGACAAGAAACAACAACCAGAATTCTGCTTTAACTCAAACGTCAATTGGCACTAATCACATCATTTGTTTATGCCTTCTTTTTCACTCAAGTGTTTTGTATTGATACATTATAAGCTTACAGAGAAAAATAATAACTTTTGGATGGCTAATAGCTTTAGACTGTATTCCGTTTCAAAGCTG